GGACGGAACAAGAATTGAGAGTGGTAGGTTCTTGTGGAATTTACTACACTGGCCATATAAAGCAGCACAAATCCATTGCCGGATTTGTGGTGGCAGAGAAACTCCCACGCCGAGTCCTGGCTTTCACCCCAGTTAATAAGCCAAAATCCGCATAAAGGTGAAGTTCATCAATATAACGCTGATTTGGGCCCACAACCCGACGGAAGAGAAGGACGATATGATCAAAAATATTTTCTATGAGCGTTTGGTGCCCACCTAACAGAGCTGCCTCCACCACGATGTCAAGGAGGTATCCTTGTCAAAACGGTCGCTAAACCGTTATCATCCTGCTTTGGAAATTAATATTGAATTTATAGCCAACTTACTTTACAATAATACACAAGACCTTTGATCTCGCTTCAACTTTGCGAAAGCTAATTTAACTTGGCCAGATGACAATAGCAATATGGAATTTAGTATCTCTCATTTTAGTGAAACTATTTTCAATTCATTTGAAAGATATGTGCCGAAATGTGTTGTTACTCAAAGTAAGTTCTAATTTGTGGTTTTCGAATGGTTATGTAAACTAAAAACTAAAAAATCTCGTGCTTTGAAACTTGAAAAAATGTTGTTACGTTGTTGACTATTCAAAATATTCTAACTTGCGAGCATAACAAAATATGTTATAATAATTACATAAACAAAGTAAAAAATATTATTATACGTAATCCAAAATCGTTCTATGATTTCGTCAACTCCAAACGCAAAAAAACTGCAAAATTTTCGACCGCGATGAAATATGAGTCTATTATGTCCAGTGACAATAACACAATTTCTAAGATGTTTGCGGAATTTTTTAGATCAAATTACTCTATTAACTCTCCTAAAAATGTTCCGTATCCGATTTCTGTAATTAACGCACCTACCATTTCCGAAGTAGACGTCTTATATTAGTTAAATAAGTTTAAACAATGAATTAGTTATGGCACTGACATGATTCCACATGCTTCCAACTGTGCCATATATATATATATATATACCAACCCGTAAAAAAACTATTTAATTCATCTCTTATGCAAGGCTTATTTCCATCACTATGGAAAAACTTTTTTATAATTCCTTTACATAAGAGTGGATTTAGGTCATCCATTTTAAACTATAGGGGAATTGCAAAGTTATCAGCAATATTTAAACTTGTTGAAGGGACATTAATTAACTCAGAAAATGTATCGTAAAATGTAGCAATTATAAAAGACAAAATAACTTTCCGGATTTTTCTGGTTTTTCAGCACGGTTTTTAACGGTAATTAATGTCCTTTCAGGTGTTTCTCAAGGTAGTCATTTTGGACCAATTCTGTTCTTGTTATTTAATAATGATATATATATTATATCCGTATCATCTGTTATTAAATATTTAAGAGTTTTATTATAATATATGCCAACGATGTAAATTTTTTTAAATCATATACTTTAAATAGTTAAAGATGTCAGTTGCAAACGGACTCAAACAACTTTAGTTTCTTGGTACATCTTTAAAAATGTAAAGCTGGTGCTTTTCCCGTAGATCTCTAGACTCTACTTCATACATAATACAAAACTCTACCTTGGAGCAAGTATGGTTTGTTGATCTGGGAGTAACTATGGATCCACACTAAAGGCGCTCTTATTGTAGTTTTGTTAAATGTTGGTCGAACGAATTTATGGATCCGCTTACTACAAAAATTCTTTTCACAAACAGCAAAGAGAAGCAAAACAAAAACAATTATTACTTTTTGCCTTAAATTATTTACATTGGGATTCCAAGTTAAAACTCCTTCCATATACTAATCGTTTAAAATCTATAAATCTACCTACACTCGCTAGGAGTAGAGAAATGCTTGGTATAATATTTCTTGTAAAACTTATTAATGGGCAGTCTATAGTCCACCTATTTATGTTGTCTGATATTAATTTTAACGTTTCCGTTCGCTCAACCAAGGAGTTTATTTTTTAGAACAAGTTTGAGTTAAACGAACCATTCCGCCTTATATGTCATGATTTGAACTCTCATTACAGCACATTTGATCTAACAGATTCACTTTATACCTAAAAAAATTGTTTTATCTACTCTTACTAAGTAACATTTCAAAAAAAATTAAATAATAAACTTACTTTATCCTAATTCTTAATTTTGGCTGATGAAATTTTTGTTTCTCTAGCTGAGCAGCTTAAAATCGCAACGCTTAAAACTCTCTGGCCTTTTCTGGCTCGCTTGCGTCGGTGGGGCGGAAGGAGGATAATCGTTGGGTATTATTATTAAAAAAATCCTTGATGAAACCTCCCCAAATTAATTACAGTTAACCACATTGCGGGCCCCGGTGAAGTCATAAAATATGCATAGCGAGTTATAATGAAAATATAAAAAAATATATATGCATACATATGTAAGTATCTCATTCATTTTTATACTTAATAGAAAGATGTCGTAAATTATGCAAAGAAATAACACGAAATTCAGTTCTTTAATGCAAGGTTGTTCTAAAGTAACGTCTAGTTATCTGTTAAAATATTACAATAATGTTCATTGCAGTTAAAAAGACATAACGAGTCACATTTTAGTTTGATAACAAAATTAGACATTACAAACATTARAAAAAAGACGAACAGTGATGAGGTCAAGTTAACAATTTCTAAAATCGCTCAATCGTAATGTCAATCACGCATGATTCGTGTCAAACTGTCATGGTATTTTTGTTCAGTATTGTTTGGCATTTCATCATTAATTTTATTACGAAAAGTCTGTAAAAAATATGTTTCACACGATTTCACTATTCGCAACCCCATCACCCATCTTGAGACCCAGCATTTATTATTGGATAATATTCGATCGAATAGACCACGTCCAGAACGCAATGAAGAAAATATAGCAGCCGTTGCTGAGAGCGTACACGAAGATTGTGAGGAGTCTATTCGGTGCCGTGTGCAGCAACTCGGAATGACGTATGGAACACGTTGTCCTATTTTACATCGAGATCTTAAATTGAAAGCGTACAAATACGTGTGCAGCTTGTACTGAAGCCGCCCAACCTTCCCAAACACATTGCTTCGCTCTATKGGCTCTTAAAAAGTTACAAGAAGATCCGACGTTTTCGATCCAAATTTTGTTCAACGATGAAGCCTACGGGTATGTAAATAAATAAAATTGCCACATTTGGGACGAACAGCAATCTGAAAAGATTCAAAAGCTGTCCTTTGTGGTTTGTTGTCTGGTGAACTCATCGGTCCATATATCTTCAAAAATGATGCCAGTGAGAGCGTAACCGTCAAGGGCGACCGTTATCACGCCACGATAACCGACTATTTGATGCCTGAAATTGAAGCWCGTGATCTCGACAACATTTGATTTTAACAAGACGGCGTTACTTCCCTCATGYCGCATCAATGAATGGAATTATTGAGAGAACACTTCGGTCAGCAGATAACTTCATGTTTTGAGCCGATTGATTAGCCACCAAGATCGTAAGATATTACACCGTTGGAGTTTTTCCTGTGGGGATATGTAAACTCTGAAGTCGGACAAGTCCGCTTCGATTCAGACCTTGGAGTAAAACATCAGGAGTGTCATTCGCTAGTTACCAGACTAAATACTCGAACAAACCATCATCGAAAATTGAACACAACGGATGGACCATCTGAAACATAAACGGCCTTCGTTTGAAAGAGATATTCTTCAAAAAATAAATGCAAAGGAATGTTTTTTTCTTAAAAAAAAGGTAGGATGAACCATTAGATTGAATAGCGAGGTCATTTACGAGGTATGTACAAAAAAAAAAATGCGAATTTCATGGAAAAATCAGGTTTAGAGCCCCTTACTACCTCGCAGGTGTGAGTTAAGACTTTCTTGCACTGGGCACTTTTGTAGTGTGAACAATTCTGAGAAATATGCGTCTAAAGTCAAAGTGATGCAATAAAATGCCTCTGAGCTATTGAAATTTAAAGACAAAAAATCACGATTGTCGTGTAATTTGAATGGAAAATTTTTACATGCCTTGGTCAAGTATTAACCGCGCATATTCTCAGGTAATTTTTTTTACGGTATTTCCAAGGAAATTTCATGACGGGATTGAAAAAAATTAATAGTTAAAAAAAAAGCACCCTAATGTATATGTTTTGAATATAGCTTAGTAAACGAAGAATCCTCTTTTGGAGTGTTCAAAACAGCACTAAACATCAGTAAATCAAAAGAAAATTCCTCATACTAAAATAGATGCTAAGAAAACTCATATTTCAATCATATCTATAATGTCACCGACTGTTCCATCCCATTATTGCACAGCCAAAAACAACAAGATTTATTTGTCACAGGAATTTTGGAATATTTAAAATCTTTACTATAACATTTGTAAAGTAGAACATGAAAAATGAAAACCTCGGCGGCTTTATTTTTTCAAATTCTGTCTTTAGGAGAGATTTAGATAGATAGGAGCACAACGTGTGAAAATATAATAAATTTAGTTGAAATTCTTAAATTTAACTTTATCATTACTAATTCATTTGATGAAATAAAAAAGATTGATACATAAAACCAAAATATTATAAATATATTTCCTTTATAAGTTAAAAGCAACATTTTTAGCATTGCACTTTGCAAACAAATTAATTAATCATTAGATCAAATAATTTTCAGTCCTTTGAATACTTCTGGTTATAAGAAAACAAGCGAGTTCAGGGATATATTATATTTCGTGTTATTGTGTGAGCAGCGGTGTAAAATTTGGTTTCACACGCAAACCTGTCGATATACAATTTTAAGTACATTGTGAAAACTCTACGAACCTATTTATGTCAAAACTTTATATTGAAATTGAGGATTGAAGCTCAGTCCTCGATTTTACTAGGCCATAATTTAAGTTTTTGCTTCAAAAGACATGTGCAACGGATTATAGTAGAGGCCAGCAATCTTAACGTTTGCGAGAGTTCTTTATGCTCGGTTTCACCCGAAATCATCAATTCTTTACATTTAATTCATTAATACATCTTACCTAGTGGTTCCAGAGCGTCGATTAGCCTTTTAAATACACTGATAAGTCGCGTGCAACGAAAACACCAATCATTATAAAACATGACAATATAAGGTGTGAACTTGCTGTTTGGAAGAATTTTCTTTTCGTAATTCTTGATAGTTATCGAGATTCTGTGATAGAAGCTTATATCACTGTCGGCATTAAACTGTTTTCCAAAAAAATTCTCGAATTGTTCCGAGGAAGTTTTACGGTAAAAATCACTCGCAGCTGCAAAAAAATGCGAATCTTCACTGCTTATTCCATGCTGATCATACATTCGTCGTCGGTCAGGATCACTTAGCAATTCATATGCCTGCTTTATTTTAACGAAAATCTTATTAGCATCTGGGTGTTCATTTTTATCAGGATGCCTGTTAAAAAATGATAGCATTAATTAAAAACTGTATAAGGAAAAAATAAGTGCTCTTGAACCATTCCAAAATTATCTATAAATAAGGAAAAACCTTAACTTCGGCAGCGCATTTTTGATTACGTAAAAGCGTATACAAATATCTTTGTTTTTTGAATTTGATCGGTCAGTTGTGTTTTAGCAATATGTTATAATAATCCAATCTGCAGTTGTAACTGATTTGGATAATAATCTACAACAAATTTCAGGAAGGCTTCTTGTCAAACAAACATAAGTGACTTGAGTTTATCGATCAGTTCCGGAGGTTCCGACAAATGAGCAGTTCCTAGAGGACAAAAAGGCGTGTGCACAATTTCAGATAGCCTTCTCAAAAACTGAGCGACTAATTCGCGTATATATGGTATATACAGATAGATAGACAAACGGAAACGGCTTAATCGACGCAACTAATCAACTTTTTATAACGTTTTTATTAGCTTCACCTTTAAAAGTGTATGTTTGTATGAGTGCTTGTAACTAACTTTTAAGTCCTTCTGTACCTTGAGTAAAAATTAATATATAGTGATGAAACATGCCACGTACATATGTTTTCTAGTGCTCAAGACATTTCGGTATTGAAGATGGATGTAATCGGACCACATCCAATGGGTAAAATAATAACCACAAAGTAATAACCACGCTCACTAACCATATAACAGTTGAAAACTGCTAAAAGTGCGATAACCCACTTAATATATGCGCCACATGCTTTACTCTTCCCAACCCAGATAATAGGGAAGAGTGTGGGACGAGCCACAATGTATTATATTATGTTATATTTCAACGTTTAATACAACATGGCAACACCATGTCAGCAAGTTAGCTGTACCCGGCTTACAAGTAACGCTGAAACGAATACAACACAAAACGAAACAAGGAATACATAGGTAACCGTTAAGTTTAAAGACGCCCGCGGTTATTGCTATATAGAACTACACATCATACGAGCAACTTCTCTTCTTCTGCTGACAGCCATCGCTTGCACACACAATAACCACCACAACTGGTGACCCCGCACTTCGTTTATTGATTAAAATCACGCAAACACTTTTTGACTACAGTACACTTTGTGTATTGGTTTTTGTACTCATCTGCGCACGTGACTGCCCACGCATACAACCGATTGCAGAACAACAGGAGTTTTCCAGCTAAATCGCTATGCCAGATAGCGCAAACGTGGAAGTGGAAGGCAGTATAACGCCACTCCAATGTGTTTCTATACGATGTCCGCTTTTCAATTCCAAACGACCAGCCTTGTAGTTCGCCCAACTCGAGAGACAATTTCATCTTTGCCGGAATATTCGATGAAATTACGCAATACTACTACGCTTACTCACACCTTGACGCCAAGGCCGGCGCAGAAGTGGAAGACCTTCTTTTGAACGTTCCCACAGAAATGCCCTACACTCGCCTAAAAGGGACACTGATCGAACGCCTTAAGCTCTCGCAAGAAGCACGACAACAACAGCTTCTCGATCGAGAGGACTTGGGTGATAGAAAACCGTCTCAATTTCTACGCCATCTTAGAAGCCTCGACAACACCGTTCCGGACAACATTCTTTGAACTAAGTGGCTCAGCAGACGTCCGATGTCAACGCAATCTATACTTGCATCCCAAGCGAATATAAATCTCGATAAACTCGCGTCTCTGGCAGACAAAATACACGAATCGCACTTCCAGCAGAAATTAATTCGCTCCAAAAATCAACAACAACATCAGGAGTCGAATCACGTATTTCCCGTCTCGAAGCTTCGGTTAACGAGCTAGTTTCCCGTCCAAGCGGCAGAGCATATCTCGTTGCCGTTCTCGTCAGCGTTTTCGTTCGTACACATCTTCAACAGCATTGAACAACGACATGTGCTGGTATCACCAAAATTTCGGCAATAAAGCAAAACTTTGCCGATCGCCGTGCTCATTTCAGTGAAACCTAACGTCGGATCGTTATTGGCGATTAACGGCTCCTCACGCGAATCAAACCGCCTTTTCGTAATAGACCGCGCCACAAAAATCCAATTCCTAGTGGATACTGGCGCTGATCTCTGCACTTTTCTTAAATCTCTCGCACCGTGACTGTCCGAACGAATCAACTATAATCTCAGAGCAGCACATAACTCTAACACTCAACCTTGGCCTCAGACGAAATTTACATGGCTCTTCGTGGTGGCGGACATAACGAAACCTATTATTGACGCAGATTTTTTAGCTCATTTCGGCATCTTACCCGACCTTAAGAAGAGCTGCCTTATCGACTCAATAACTGGACTAAAAGCCGCATGTAAGTTATCTACATCAAAAATCATTTCAGAAATTAAAGTACTGCCCGCCGATCCTATATGGGCTAAAATCCCGCATGCGCTGTGACTGTGACATTCTGGGCTTGCCTTGAATTGTCAGCATAGTCCATGTCAGATATAGTGCAATAGTATTCATCGTAAAATTATGGTTATTGTATACTTTATTTATTCCTGGTATTTGAAGGTGTTTTCGTTTACGAATGGATTTACGAGACACTTGTCCTCATACAGTTGAGTTCTATAGAATTCTTAGGAATTCTTGGGGGCTCAACTGGCAGTAGCGAAAGCTACAAATCACACCAAAGACTAAAACATGGCACCACGGGGAGCAGTCAGTCCTTGGAGGTAACTTTAATCTGCTCATTGGGTTTTTGGCCCTTTGTGGAGATTCGTGGTGGCTGTGGCTTTAACCTAATTGCAGGAAGGGCATTTAGTCCCGTGTGGACTCGCACTGCGGCCGGGTGCCGGACCCAGAGTACGGCAGAGGTTTAAAATGCGCCTCGTACCCGACCAAGGCGGCTAGAGTGTTTTACGTCCACCCAAACCAATTGGAACCGAAGTATAAGTGTATGTGGCGGCACGCATACTTTGGTTCTCCAGAATATGGTGCAGGTGCTTGCACTGGCGCTTTGGGGAGCTGATCATCGCATTGTTTTGATCTATGTGCTTCTAGCAATAGAAAGCACCGTGGGGTTAGGCCTTCTACCTTCCTTTTCTACACGCTTTTTCTCAGGACCCCGATCGAGCGACACCCTGCCAATTCCACAGCCTAGATTTCATCAGCCAGTTTACAACCGATATCCGACATATAGCCGGAAAAGACAACATCGTCACAACTGCTCTTTCTCGCATCGAAGAAATTTGAATGGCAGTATCTTCAAACGAACTTGCTCAAGTACAAGCTGAGAATGAAGAACTTCAGCAAAGAATACAAAGGGAACAACACGATTCACTAAACTTGCGACCAGACAACATTCCAGGCTGCAATACGCCAATTTATTGCGACGTTTCGACCGGTTTATCCGTCCGGTGAGGAAGAAAATATTCGACGCTCTCCACAGCATTAGTCATCCCGGAGCACGAGCTTCCACCAAATTGTTAACGCTACATTTGGCCAAGCATTAAACGCGACTGCCGTTTGTGGGCCGAACATGCCTAGCTTGCCAACGAAATAAGATGTCTAGCCACGTTTTATCACCAATCCAAAACTTTTCACGTAGACATCATTGCTTCATACGTACTTTCAAAGGTGTATCGCTACTGGTTAACAATTATCGATCTTTTCACCAGGTTTCCAGAGGTATTTCCCATTGATAGTATCGACGCCGAATGTGTTACCCGCACACTTTTTGCTGAATAGATATGCCGCTACAGTGTACCATTAAAAATCACAAGGAACACAGTTTAAGAGCCAACTTTTTAGCGCTCTCGCTCGTCTCCTCGGCAGCAAACATATAAATATCACCACTTTCGATCCGCAGTCGAATGGAATGGTGGAACGACTTCACCGTCGCTTGAAAGATGCCATTCGTTGCCACGAAAACAGCTCATGGGTCGACATGCTACCCATCGTTCTCCTCGGAATTCGTGCCGCTTGAAAGGAAGATCTTGACGTAACTCCTGCGGATCTCGTTCATGGAGAGCCAATTCGTTTACCAGGTGAATTCCTAGCGACTTCGCCACGATCTGGTTTTCCACCATCCAATTTGGCATTACGCTTGAAAAATTACTTTGCAGACCTGTCACCACAACCCATTGTTCGAGATGGTGAGAGGAAACCATTCATTTTCAAAGAAATATCTACATGTTCACACGGTTTTATTCGTCGCGACGCTCTACACCAAGCATTCACTTCACCTTATTGAGTCATTTCAAAGCATAAAAAATATTTCATCGTAAACGTCAATGGTGAAATACTACAGTTTCGATCGACCGACTAAAGCCTGTTTATCTTCCTCCCGACGATAAGCTCAACTAGAGTGAGCAGCACAACGACGATGACAACAATACTACGCTTAGCACATTAAATTCACCAGAGTCATCTGAATCTCGGACATCTCGATTTTTGTCACCATCATACCGCTCATCTGAATCCGATTCCATCTTATCTTCACCGTCAGCCAAGAGACGCGTTAGATTCCGCTGAACTACTAATCATCTTCCTAAATTATCAATAATTTTGGTAACGTTCTCCAAGAAGGGGAGTACTTGTGGGACGAGCCACAACATATTATATTATATTTCAACGTTTAATACAACATGGCAACACCATGTCAGCAAGTCAGCTGCACCTGGCTTACAAGCAACACCGAAACGAATAAAACAAAAAACGAAACAAGGAATGCATAGGTAACCGTTAAGATTGAAGATGCCCGCGGTTATTACCATATAGGACTACATATCAGASGAGCAACTTCTCTTCTTCTGCTGACAGCCATCGCGTGCACACACAATAACCACCACAAAGAGATTTACAGAAGAGGGACTAAAAAAGGAACAATGGTCTTGGCACCGCCAACTTTTAGATAAAATTATTTATCTCAGGAATTACCCAGCAATTTCCACCAAATACGTGAGGTTACTCACTTCTTCTTTACTGGCGTAGACACCACTTACGCGATTACAGACGAGCTAACAACAGCGCACCAGTCGTTTCTCCGCTTTCGA